TTTGTGTAAAAAAAAAAAAAAAAAAAAAAAAAAAAAAAAAGAAAGTCTCAAATGTTTAATCTCTTAAATCTGAGAAAGATTTTAAACTTGGTGATTCCTGACTGTGAATTTCAATCAAACGCAGATAAACACACTCATGCAATATGGAATAATTTTTAAATTTACCTAATAGACCTAGTTAAAATTTACCAAAAATATAATAATCATAATTTGCACTTACTGCTGTGTATGGTGGTGGGGCACCTCCAACTGCACCTGAAACAATCAATTACTATTTTAGAATTCACGAACTAGTACTTACAAAACGGCTTATAAAGTTTATGTGTGTCTTAATGAAACTGGAACTGTTAGCTTAACTAGTAAAATGTTTTCTAATAGGCTAGAAAAGCAAGCCTACGTACATATAACAGATAATGTCCAAATCAAACTGATCTTGCCAGGGCTTGACACTAACTTTTTTCGACACTGGCCCAAGATATCGGTAAATATTGCAAGGATGATTTGGCACATGATATTTTACTTGCACTTTGGGCCAGTGACCCCATCGATTCAATGGCCCTAGGTTGGTTTTCACTGGCCCAGGGCCAGTGGGCCACATTTAATGTCAAGCCCTGCTTGCTGTCATAATTCAAATATGGTTATATAGTTACAAGGAAACCAACAACAGTCATCGTTAAAAAATTGACACATTCAAGCATTTTCATTCAGGCCAATCTGTTTTTTCATTTCTCTACCTTGTTGTTGGTATGTTGGGTTATAGGAGGGCTGTGTTGGATAACTCTGTGTGGGATAAGCTGGCTGTGTTGGGTAGCCTAAAAACAAAAAACAACAATTAACACTTGATATTTAGTAATAAATAACTCTGTTTGAATCAAAGCAGGGAATTATAGCGCAGTGTACCACATAATTCCTTGACCAAGGTAAAAGATAAGCTGAAGAACAACAACTTGTACCTTGTATCTCAAAGAAAGCAGGAAGTGCAAAATTTCTCTTTCTTCAAATAGGTAATTAAACTCACTTCACACAATGATTGTTTAATTTACATCCATGTAGTGACAGACAACCTGAGAGTGAAGTACATTTATTCACGTATATTAAATAAAATTTTCATATCTAGTAACTGAGTGAGAGCTGTTAAATTTAAACCTTCACCAGACCCATATTAATTATTATGATCAAGGAATTTTTTACTGACTAGAATGTTTAAATGGCGCTATAAATTCACACTATAAAAACTAGCATGTACGAATATGCTTTGCTTGGAAGTTCTTAGGCATGAAAAACATAAAATCTTCATGAGATTAGAAGACAAAACTGTAGGAATTTGGACAAGAAATGAAGAATGTCAAGACCAAAGTTCAATTATGAGTATGGTTGTGAAGTCAATTGTTTCCAACAAGTGCACTAAAAGTTTACCTTGAGGCGGAGATTTTTTCTCGTTGTCTTTCTTCTTTCCGAAAAGTGGCATCTTCTTTTCACTCTGGCACAGGTGGATATGACAAAATAGAGAAAGTGCGTGTACTTATGTACGTTTTGGTTGCGAAATATCTGCACAAGTAAATATCTGGAGTTTGTGAGTCATCAATGTTTGGGTATGACGTCATAGAATGTTGTATTCCCGTTTGTGATCTCGTTCGATAAGAAACGGCGAGAATTCCTTAGTCCATTGATACCGTTGATGTAAAGGGTTATTTTCACTAAAACTACACTGTACGAAGTATATCTGTACAGGTCAATTTGTTGATTGAGAGTCAAGGTATGTTCATATCAAAGATTATTACAGGTAATCTAAGGTGTTTTCCGCAAACGTCGTATTTATACTGTAATTGAATACCATGTCTGGGTCCGCCATTTTGTAAATGTTTTCACACCGTTGCAGTGATTCAGCTTTCGAAAAAGGAAATGAAACAGTTTCTTTTGTTTTTTTTTATTTGAAAAAGATAATATGGTTCATCGCTGCATACAATTACATTGAAGGTAATGTGTGACTATGTGATTAGCTTGTCTGTGAGCACTCTTTGTAATCTGGATGGGGTGGTTTTTATTTTCTGACAACCAAGTTCTTGTTTTAGAAGATATAGCCTTGAAAACATTGAGAAAAGTTTATTAAAAACAGGTTGTCTGTACTAAGTGACTTTGGTTTGTTTCATTTTTCATTGTAGATTCATTTTGTAATTGTGTATATGACGTGAAATATCATGGTGAACAAGTCATAAATGATATATTTTAATATTATATTCCCTTTTTATATTTAATAGATATTGTGCCATTCTGCCATTTAGGTACTTTATTCCATTGAAAGAAATATTGACAGTCAGTTGTACACAGATCTGATTTTAACTAATGACTATTTTTGTGTTTTCAGATGAAGTGTGTGCACTGACAGCATTACCTAATAAAGAGTAGATAAGTTTTAGTGATATATCAAAGTGAGCAGAAGTTAAAACAGCTGTTCACTGGTTTTCTTGTGATAAAAAAGAAAAATGGCGGGCCCCTCCAAGGGAAACCCTCATGGACTTAAACAGATAGGACTTGATCAGATCTGGGATGATCTCAAAGCTGGAATTGAACATGTATACGAAAGACAGAGCATGGCTCGTACCAGATACATGGAGCTTTATACGTATCCTTTTATTTGACTACTTGAGGTCTTTTTATCTCCTAAAACAAATGGTCTGGACTAATCTATTTACTCCAAATGATTTATGATGAAGTAGAGATGTTTTATTATATTTCACTTATTGATTGATTGATTCACAGATGCCACAGAAAAAATACTGCATGTGTTAACCTTGGCAGTTTCATTTTCAATGTGTATATGATTTCAATTTATGTGACCAAATAAATATTATGTTAGGAATTCTCAGTATGTTATGTAGCTTAATAAATGTCCTGATGCCCAGAAATAAAATTCTGTGAATTGACAGTGCTGTTACAACCAAAAAAAAAGTAAAACCTGCTATGATGTAAATGTCTGCCTTAACTGTCTGCCAGCCATGTGTATAACTACTGTACCAGTGTCCACCAGGCCTCTGGGAGCAGGGCATCCACCAAGTCCAAGAAAGGCCAGTCTGTGGGCGGAGCACAGTTTGTAGGACTAGAACTGTACAAGAGACTTAGGGAATTCTTAAAGAATTATTTAGTCAATTTGTTGAAGGTATGGTTGTGCCTTATGTCTTGTAGTTTTACTAATACGTAAATATTTCTGGAAAACACGCCAAAGTCTTAGAGGTTTCTTTGTTGTAGAATAAGATTGTAAGTTCATCAAAATGGAATATTTGGACAACAAAGACAGTGACAACAGCTATTGATTAAAACCTGCAACTTTCAGGATGGTGAGGGCCTTATGGATGAAGGAGTACTTCAGTTCTATACTAAACAGTGGGAGGAATATCAGTTCTCAAGTAAGGTTCTTGATGGTATTTGCGCCTACCTCAATCGACACTGGGTCAGGAGGGAAATAGATGAAGGCAGGAAAGGAATTTATGACATATATTCTGTAAGTTAGATGTGTGTGTGTAAATCTATAATGAAATGTGAAGTGTATTTAAATACAAAATATTTTCTACAAGTTGAATAAAAATGTCCAGGGGAATGTTTTTTAGTCTTCTCAATGAGATATAATTGAAAATTGATTAAGGTGATTTGTTGGAGTGTGTATTTTTTGGTTGTGAATTTTTTTTTATGTTAATGTGATTGTTATTTATTTAATTTTAAAAAACTTATTTAATGAAATATTTTTAGATTTGTTCCATTACTTAACTCCCAAGGTGAGATCCAGGAAGGAAATAAATGATGATACATAAAATTGACCTCCCTATTTCAGTTGGCTTTGGTGACATGGAGAGAGCATCTTTTCAAGGTTCTGAACAAACAAGTAACTAATGCCGTCCTGAAACTCATTGAGCGTGAGCGCCATGGGGAAACCATTAACACAAGGCTAGTCAGTGGTGTCATCAACTGTTATGGTATGTTAGTCTGAGGCATTATTTTAGATTGTATGTAACTGAATTTGAAGGTATTATATTGCTTAATTGATTTTCCAGTATGTAAATTAAGCTTTGTATGGGAAATCAAATGTTTCACCAAGTCTATATGGAAATGGTGTAAATATGGTTATTTTGTTTAAGTCGTCAGCTCTGTAGTTATCACTTCTCAGTTAGCCACATTTCTCTCATATTTTGGTGTCCCAACTTTGTCTCAATGTTTTGTACATGTAATTTTTTTTAATTGGCCGTATGAGTGTGAAGCCAGAAATAAATATTTCTTATAATATAATATATGAAATTCCCATTTGGATGTGTCCTAATTTTCATTGTTTTATTTCCTGCCAGTTGCCCTCGGCCTTAATGAAGAAGATCCCACAGCCAAGGGCCCCACGTTATCAGTGTATAAGGAGAACTTTGAGACCCCCTTCCTGGACGACACAGAGCGATTTTATACTAGAGAAAGCACAGAGTTCTTACGGCAAAACCCAGTCACAGAGTATATGAAAAAGGTAAAAAAATTTATTAATGTATTGTGTAAATGTTGCAGATTTGTTTTAAAAAAGAAAAGTGTCCCAAAAGTGATGGAGTGAAGTTTGATATGGAATGAGGCATAATGTACAAAAAGATGTGTAAAGCCTAGTTATTTTAAAAAAGAAAAGAATGCAAACTGGGAAGTTTGTGATGTTGAGGAGCAATAGTTTACCATCTTTATTCTTTGAACAAATGTTGGCTCTTGTTATGATGCCCTTTGTGCAAATGTAATATTTGTAACAGCTGAAGATGATTGTGGATCTGACAGATGTGATATAGAAGAAATCTGCAATTCTCTTCCGTGATAATCTTGGCAAGCTATAAATCTTGGAAATAGTTTTAACAGCTTGAGGCAGATGTCGCACTCACTTTTTTTTTTGCTAATAATTAGGGTAATTATGTAGGGTCAGTGACATTGAGAAAGTGATTTACTGATAGAGCATGACCTCAAAAGTAACTGGGAACATAATAAGGAATCCTAATGATGCATTTGATTTATTGCTAGGAATATGGCACCATATTGTTAAGATATAATGTTGTGTTAGATAACTGTATGATGTAATGATGTTATACTTTTATAATCGATAATTTTCAAGGCTTGTTTCTTGTTTCTTATTGTGGTTAAAAATTGAAAAAAAAGAATGAACAAAATGTATGAAGAAGTTGTGGTAATAAAGACCCAGAAGCCTGCTGTTTTAAGTACACTTTATGGCTATTTTACCAACAAAGACTGATGCATCCCATTTTCATTTTTAGGCCGAGTCTAGACTCCAAGAGGAGACAAAACGTGTGCAGGTGTACTTGCACGAGAGCACACAGGACGTCCTGGCACGTGTGTGCGAGAAGGTGCTGATAGAGAAACACCTGGAAATATTTCATTCTGAGTTCCAGAATCTGCTGGACTCTGACAAAAATGATGGTGAGTTGTATTTATAATTATATTTATTTTGTAGTTTTTTAAGTACCTTATATATTGGAGTCTTGATGAATGATATATCATTATCTTCAGAAAATTTTACAGTGGAAGTAGTTGTAGTTAAACAGCCTAATTGGAAGTCTACATTTCTTCCAAGTTTATCATAACTGATGATAACAATCTTTTGTAAAAATGGTTTATAAATAAGTTATTGCTCACTTATGATTTATAAATTTGGATGAATATTATCTTTTCTAAATGGCTTATAAATTGGTTACTGCTGACTACATGAATTATCCCCCCACCCCACCCCTTTGTTCACTTAGATTTGGGCAGAATGTACCAGCTGGTGTCTAGGATAACGGACGGCCTGGGAGAGCTGAAGGGTCTGCTGGAGACACATATACACAACCAAGGCTTAGCAGCCATAGAGAGGTGTGGGGATTCTGCCTTAAATGTAAGTAGACTTGAGTATTTTTACAAATGAAAACATCGTTTGGGCTTGGCTGAAAGAGCTAAAAGTGATTGACCTACAAAAAATGTAAGTCGCTGTACAAATTTGTGGTTTTGTCGCAGCTGTGAGTCTTTGTCAAAAGGTTTAAAAAATATGCAACATACAACATTGATCTTATTTAATTTTAGAATTTCATGTAATAGATGGGCCAGAAAAAAGTTAGTCGCAATTTTATCAATGTCTTCCCCATTTCAGGAGCCTAAGGTTTACGTACAGACTATCCTCGATGTACACAAGAAGTACAATGCCTTGGTGATGACAGCTTTTAACAATGACGCAGGCTTTGTTGCTGCCTTAGATAAGGTATGTTATTGTACCACCAGCGTNTAGTTAATCTTTGTGCTAAGTCAGTTTTGAGCTTGATTTAAGCCTGTTTAGGACTGTAGCTTATGGTTGTATTGTCCTATGTTATTAAAAAAAACACTGGCAGTTAGTGTTGTTATATTATTATTCAGGCATGTGGCAAGTTTATCAACAATAATGCTGTGACAAAGATGGCCAATTCCTCCAGTAAGTCCCCTGAACTGCTGGCCAAGTACTGCGACTTACTCTTAAAGAAAAGGTGAGAGCCCCTGAAAAACAACTCCAACCAAACTTTGTTTATGAGTGCATGCCTCTTTGTCTTCTTTGACATTTGTTACTCGTTGAAGAACTTAATTTATAAAATGAATTTTGCAAATAGTTGAATCATAGAAGGAGAGGGTCATTAAACTGTTAACGTATGTTGATGTCACTTATAGACAGTGAATATACTAAAGTTGTTACTTGTCACTTCGTTCACAGCTCAAAGAATCCAGAAGAAGCAGAGTTGGAGGACACATTAAATCAAGTGGTAAGTGTCAGCAATATAAAACATTTGAGTTTTAAATAAATTTTGTGTAGAAGTTTCAAAAAGGGCATTGTCTGAAGATTTCACAAGTGTAAGCTCATTTTATTGTATTTAAATTGTCGCCTTGTTAATACAGTAAAGGATAGGAACAAATCTCCAGTCCTAGTATTTTAAGGTGCCCAGGTGTATGGTATTTATATTCACGGGCCTGTTTCACCAAAGAACTTTAGCCCAGAAGTTGGTATATACTTTTTAGATCAAAATTTTTTGTCTACTTTGATCTACAGTCTCAAACTTAATGAAATATTGCACTTGTTTCATTACAAAAATGACATTGCTTTTATTTCAAACTGATATCTATGGCCTGTTATGGATTTATCTTGAACTCAAGTAGACCAGTATTTAGGCCCCAAAAATTTGCATCAATTTTCTGTTTAAAGATATCTTTGTCAAACTGGCCCCAGGTAAATGTTGATGTACAAGCAGCATGTTTTCTTCGTGTTTTTCAGATGATCGTGTTCAAGTACATAGAAGACAAGGATGTGTTCCAGAAGTTCTACAGCAAGATGCTGGCCAAGAGACTGGTCCATCACATGTCAGCCAGCGACGACGCGGAGGCCAGCATGATCTCAAAACTGAAGGTACTGAAGGGTGTTATTTAATTATAGGTCCTTGAGGGTGTCTTGGCTTAGAGGCAGATGTGATTGGAATGCGCTTTTAGCTTTTAAAAGCAGTCACTTTTATTTGTGAAACTGAATCTTGTACTATGTAGTCATTATGAAAAATGGCCTTTATCGAAAGAATTAATGAAATTAAAGAAACTGTACAACAATTTGGCACAGTGTAGTTTTGGTAAAAAAAATAGTAGCCTTAAGATGAAGCTTTTAAGATTCACAGTTGCTTTCTATTTGTCATTTTGTATTCCTAAATTTCTCTTGATCTAAATTCATATTGCTTGTTGCATGTATTTTTTTGATCAAGATATGTCTTTTAAACTACCCTTGAGAGCAACTTAACTATACACTAAGCAGGATCTTCTACAATTTTACAGCAAGCCTGTGGTTTTGAATACACCTCCAAACTCCAGCGCATGTTTCAAGACATCGGGGTCAGTAAAGACCTCAACGAGAACTTCAAGCGCCATCTGCAGGTGTCTGGAGAACCACTCGACAGTAAGTCCATGAATGCTATATTGCTACCCATGTCGTCTTTTGTCTTTTTGATAAAATCTTTGCTTTTGATCAAAATAAGTTGTGCTCTTGATAAACAGATAAGCCTTGAAAATTTGAAATGGATCTGAACATTGATTTTTATTCATCACACTGAGTTTATGAGTATTAGTGACTTGCATATTTAAAATGCCCTAAGGTTTAGCATGATCGAGTTATTTGTGTTTACCTGAAAGCAGGGGTTAACCAGGGTTCTTAAAAGGGAGTACAAATACGGAGACAAGCTGTCAAGAACTCTTTATGCCCACTGAATTGGATTAACAAAAAACAAAAAAAAAAAGAGAGAGAGAGAGATGGCTGTCCAGAATTTAAAAAGGCTGTCCAAAGGACAACTGGATGGTTGCCTGACTGATAACCTGCCCTGAATATGAATATTTGACAGAGTCCTTGTTTTGAGTGTGACATGTTATTTATATAATATTCCTGCTCTTTTTCAGTTGACTTCAGTATTCAAGTACTGAGCTCTGGGTCCTGGCCATTCACACAATCCTGCACATTTTCTTTGCCAATAGAGGTGAGTGTGATCATCAAACATTTATTGCAGGGCTGATTATGTTTCCAGAGTATAGGGGGGTATTTATCAAACCATGAAGGACACTATGATGGTTGAAACATTGTTGTCCATGAGAGAAATTTAAGAGCAGTCTTTTTCAACTTTGTTCTGCAAGGATATATTTTTTCTGTTCTTTTAATCTTCTAAATGGAAATGTTATGTATTGAGGTGGGCAATGGGGGAGGGGGGAGTGAGAGAGAGAATGCAAAAAAAAAAATTGAGTAGTATTCACCTAGCCAATTTAAGCCAGGAATATTATAATAAATGCAACCCAGTAGTCAGTTTACATGAGTAGAAGCTTTTGTAATTATTTAACCTGCATTTTAAGAAGGCTTTATATGTCTTTAAGTCCTCCAACTTATTTTGTTTCTATCCTCCAGCTGGAGCGTAGCTACCAGAGGTTCACCACATTCTACAGCAGTCAGCACAGTGGACGCAAGCTGAGCTGGATCTACAACATGTCCAAGGGAGAACTGGTCACCAACTGCTTCAAGAGCAGGTACACCCTGCAGGTAGGTGGTCAAGTGTCCATCTGGTGTGGAAACATTCACCACTTTACAGATACTTACAAAATCGCTGCGCGCATGTGTGAGAATTGCATTGTGGGAAAAAATAGAGCAAAACAAAATTTGCGGGGAATTACCTTTCTCGATACCTTCTATCATTTCTGCATCTTGAAGCACAGCAGGTAGACATTATTTTGTGTTTGAGCCTTCGCGCCAGGAGTTCGCGCCCAATGTCTGCTCCTTTTTTCCGCACAATGCAGTTCGAGTTTCCTGTCGACGTACAACTGTAAAGTGATGAATGGTAGGACCACATGGTATGACCAAGTGGTATTGTTACATATGCAGTTTGGGATTCACCAGAAAGAGAATGAGAATTGTTTATCAGATGTAGAACAGTAAGGAAAAGGAAGAGAAAAGTTTTACTTTTGGTCTTAGAAAGTTTTGTTTAGTTTGTTTGAATTTCTTATTGTTCATGCATATACTGAGATAGCTCGATGACAATTTTTAGACAGATGTTAAAAGTTTGACAGTTTTGCTGGTTATAATCCATAGTACAGAATAAGACAATTTATGAGGTTGTAGGATTTTCATCAGTACTGTCATGCTGAATAGAAGAGCCCTCCATTTGCTATGAACTGGAAAAATTTCAATCCTTATGTTTTGTTCTCTACTTTGCAGGCCTCTACATTTCAAATGGCAGTTCTCCTTCAGTACAACACTTCTGACAGTTTTACAGTGCAACAGCTACATGAGAGCACACAAATAAAAATGGTGAGTAAAGCAGTGTTGTATGTTAAACATAGTGTATTCTTTTGCTTTCCATGCCCTTAAAGTGCCCCACTGCTCTCCTCATATTTTAGTCACTAGATTTTTTTTCTCAGAGCATAAACCCCCACCCTCATTTGCAACTATCTTAGGTATGCAGTGCCCATTGTAGGATTCCGCTTATTCCATAAATAAAAACAATCTGTTCCACAGGATTTGTTTGAAGTGAGCAATAATACAGGTTATATGGTGATGTCGAGTTTTCTGCATTTGAATAGGAATTACTAGGTTTTTATCTCCCTTCTCCTCCTTTCAGGATATCCTGACCCAGGTCCTGGCCATATTGCTCAAGTCCAAGCTGTTGGTGACAGACCAGGACAGTGAAGAGACTGAGCTCCAACCCACCACTACCATCAGCCTATTTCATGGATATAAAAAGTAAGAGAAAGGTTCTCTATTTTATGGATATAAAAAGTAAGAGAAAGGGGTTTCTCTCTCTCTCTCTCTCTCTCAAATAGTCAGTGTGAGAGAGAGACCAATTTTTCCTGCTTTGCGTTTCTTATATTTTCGTGCTGAAGTTGTCATGTTAATAATGATAATTTTGAAGTGGAAAAACAAGCAGAAATTCACTAACAAAAGACACCACAAAGAAATACTTAAACACTGGTGATTTTTTTTTCCAGTAAAAAACTGCGTGTCCAGATCAATATTCCTATGAAGACAGAAGTCAAGCAGGAGCAGGAGACAACACACAAACACATCGAGGAGGACAGAAAACTACTTATTCAGGTGTGGTACTACTTCTTATTGAATTATAAAAAACATGGTGGACTGAATGTAATTAAGTCCGGTTTGCATGAGGATTCATTGCTTCACCTGCTGTTACATAGATCATGTACTTTAAACTTTCGGAGAGATTTATGAAAATTCTCTTGCAGCTAAAAAAAAATAAGTTAACGGAGATTTAATTGGATGTGTGACATTAACGACGACCAGCAACTCTGTGGTGTGTCATTTATGAGTATGTTAACAGTGTTTTTGTATAACAGACTTGTAAGAGTATTGTTGAGTTTATGTTCAGTTTTAGAACTTAACAAAGAAGAAGATAATTTGCCTTATAGACATTTTAAAACTGAGAAACTTGAGAAATTACATAACTATGCAGCAATTCTTGAAAGGTCGCTGATGATTTTATATTTTTTTAAAACATTCCAGCAGTATATGGACACCAAGCCTTTGCTTAGTTCTGAAGTACTTCCCAACTGCTCGAGGAAGTTAATTTGACTGAGTGCAAATATAAAAAGTTAATATTTGTGTAGTTTACAGTGATATTTTGCCTTGCATTCACAGGCTGCCATTGTGCGTATTATGAAGATGCGTAAAGTGTTAAAACATCAGCAGTTGCTAGCAGAAGTGTTAAGCCAGCTGTCCTCTCGTTTTAAACCCAGAGTGCCAGTGATTAAGGTAACTTTTTTTTTTAATTTAAGTATGACTTTCATTTGCTTTAGTTGTGAAGTTGTCTCTCCCCCCCCCCCCCCCCCCCCTTGACATGTTCAACAAAAGAGATAAAAGTGAATAGGAATGTACGAAAAGATGGAAGTTTCTAAGGCTTATGTAATAGACATTCAAAACAATTTGGACCAGTAAGCTTTCATGGTGATCTTTATTTATTTATTTATTTATTTTTATTTTTTTTTTTTTTTTGTGTTCATTTATTGTATGATATAAAAAAAAGTATGGTGCAATTTTTTTTCATGACAAAAATGCTTGGTATTATAGCTTGATTTTGCCATCAACCTCTATAATTGCAGAAATGTATAGACATCCTCATTGAGAAGGAATACTTGGAGAGGGTGGAGGGACAAAAAGACACCTACAGTTACTTGGCCTAGATCTCCACGACATCTGTGCAATACTGGCCCAAGGTAGGGACTAACAGTTCCAGATTGTGGTAGGGACTAACGCTTCTGGATGGTCCCATATTTAATGCCTTGTAAATACCAATTGGGCTCACTCCATGATAAAGTAACTTGAGCAGAATTGCTAGTAATATCATTTTAGTCAAATAAGTGTAGAGTTGGATCACTGGATGAACTTGGCTTAAGAAGGTGAAGAGTTTTAAATCTTATGTCTAGCATTTATTTTTTTCTGAAATTTTACAGTGCTGTAGTGAACCCTGATGTTGAAGTGATTTAGTAACGTGCTCCACCCTTATGCTTTAAAACTAAGTATAAATGAATATAATTTTGAAAAGCAAATTGCCTTACCAAGTTTATCCTGGCATTGAGCTTTAGACAAGAAATATTTTTACCTTTTCTCTTTCTATTTATTAATATTTGAATTTTGGAGTTTTTTTTTTTTTTTCTACTGAGCTATTGTAACATATTTAATGTTTAAACTTTAGAGTGTAGTTCTGCCTTACCATACTTAATTTCTTTACGTCTTACTATATTATATTTCATTTGATCCTGAAACAAGTTTCTTTTCTGTTTTTCAGATGTCTCAGGAACAGAAAATTTAAGACATTCACAATCGAAGCTTAATATGAGGAATTCCTGAGCAACTGCCCTTTTTATATATTTATTTTAACAATGGTACTGATTTCAATCGTTCAACAGTGCATGCTATAATGGAAGCAAAATGGAAGAAGACGAGAATAAATGCAGGCACTGTATTTTGAATTATTTTTTATTTATATTGTTGATCATTTGATCATCGCCAGACACTGAAGGTTTCTTTTACTATGAGATAAGATGCTGCATAAAAGGAACTCTAAATTGGATAAACATATGAGGGAGATGATACTACAACTGTAGGACACAATTGTTTTGCCAAGCTATAAAGACCACTGTGCCCAACAAAATGAAAGTCCGGTGAAATGCATATTTTTTTCTGCTGGAAAAATGGGTTTGTGTGTGTGTATATATATGGGAACAGTTGATCTCACTCTGTTACAAACTATTGGATTTGAAACAGTGCAATGGTTTGGTCATTCAGAAAGACTCTTAGTACCGACTTTTTTTTTTTTTTTTGCGTGGGACATTTGTTTTAAAACAGTTTCATTGCTCTTTTATTTTATACTAAATATGGAGTGTCTGTTGCTTACTTAACACACATTGTTTAGGTTATTTTCAGATTTATTTTAAACAAATTTCACGAGAAAGCTTGACCAGAACTTGGGGCAATCCTTATGTTAAACTTGAGGTGGCCCAGTACAGTTGACCTTGAAAGGAAAAAGAGAAAGACACCTTTGGCATCTTATCTTCAATGTTTACACCGATTCACGAACAGTTGCGTCTTGTTGTATTTTATGTAATTAATATATAATATTATTATAATATTATCATTTTGTCATCTATCTCATGACACGTGCTGTGGTCGTTTTACGAACACGGGACTATTGCTACCGTGGAGGGGAATTTGGAAGCCGGAATTTCATAGTGTATAATAAACATTACAGTGTATAAACTCTGCACTTCTTTGTTTTTATACGGCTTGTTAAAAAGGCAAAATTATCAGAGAACAAAGCATTTTAATACCTTGTTTTTTAGGGTTGGGGGGGAGGTGAATGGATTCGATTAAAATGTGTCCGGACATAGCACAAAGCAGTTTGGTCTGCTCAGTAATTATTGCGGGTGCTGTCCTGTCTGCCTACGCGTGTGCGCTGGTCATAAAAACTGGAATTCCTGGTCATTCGGAGTTGGTTCATTGAAAGCATTCTGTTTACCCAGTGTGATACGTACACGTACAGTGTGATTGTACTGAAGGCGTGTGACCTTGGCTTCGGTGCCGAGGTTTTGAGATTAATGCTCTGTGTATAAGGGTTTGAGATTAGTGCTATATGTATAAAGCATTAGTGAGTATTAGGAGGAGCGACGTTACTCTTAGATTATTCCCTGAACGGCCTCCCGTAGTGTATACACTGCGATTACCCTATTTGTTTCTACTATAAAATAAACAACTAAGTAGCCTTGGTTTATAGGGTTTCAGCCGATAATGCGAAGCGCAACATTTTGATTTCAATTAAATTGACCTTATATCAACAAGAAGGAAGCCGGGGAGGGGCAGAAATCATTGTATCGGCATAAGAAGTCCAGTGTGCTTTGATTTGCTATCTTATTAACAGCAACCTTTGGTGATACGTTTGTTGTGTCGGCTGTCAATAAGTTTACCCCAAAAAGCTAAGGCCGAGTTTTGGACAAATGTTTAGTTTTTGTATTCATACGGCGGGCATTGCTTATCACCAACTCGATTTATCCTAAGTATCACCAACTCAGTTCACCCTCAGTAATATTTTTTTTCGTTTTTACCTGCTGCATTGCCAAGCAGGTAGGCCTATATCAGGCGTAGATTTCTTCTTTCTGACTTTTTGCAAATGAACATCTTCGGCCCGGGTTCTTTTACGGCCCGTTCCTTCTGCTTTTACGTTTTAACCGACGACACAGTTCAACGGTTCTTTAAGTTGCAGATTTTGTCTTCTTCTAATTTTTTTCCAGCCGGGGCCAATCCCGGTCTAGGTTCTATTAGGTGTGGACGTCAAGCTCGTTAGCTGGCAAACCACATATGTCAGTGTAACTATTAGTGTGAGTCGAGACAAACAAAACGACATCAAAGCTTCAAGAGACGCCTGGGAGAAAAATCATAAAACGGAACTGTTATTAGAAAATAATAAAAATAAAAATAAAAGCCAGCCTCTGATATAATTATTTTAATTTTTTGGGTTAAAAATACGTAAACGTGTTTGCCCCATGACTGTTAACCCCTTTCAAGATTTTCTTCATTGCATAATGTGTATTGGCGTGTTTGCCCTGCAAATGTTACTACTTCAAGAGTCCAATAGAGGCGTATCCAATTTTTCAATTTGAACAAAGCCCTCCCCCCCCCTCCCGAAGCAAATGATTTTTTCTTTTTTTCTTTTTCTGCGTCACTAATTTGAAAAGCTGCATTGACTTAAATGAGATTCGAGTTTAGTATATACGTTGCCAGCCAATGCTTCCTGTACGACTTTGTGCAATTGGGGCGGATTAATCGAGGGATTACAACATGTTGGGCCACCTCTTCGAATTAAAGGTCCAATTCCCCTCAAGCTTAATCGCCTTAAGGCTCATTCTCTTTGAAACTATCGGTCTACGTAGATCAATCCAACTCCGCGGGGACTCTCGCTGAATGCAATCAGTTTAACAGATTAGTTAACACGCCTTCAGCTGGCGCTGAGAAAAATACAGAAAAGCTGGTGATTATACGAGCACTGTGAAAACAAAAGGAGGCATGTTCATATGTTAAGCTGGTTGCATTCAGCGAGAGTCCCCGCGGAGTTGGATCGACCTGCGTAAACTTATAGTTTTAATGGGAATGTTTCCTTAAAAATGCACCTGGACAAATATCAAGTAACGAAAAACTAATTATAACGCAGACTTAAAAGCATTCCGTACCTATGTTATTGACACCTGTACAAATCTTCCCGGTATGCAAAATGATTAAATATGACCCGAAAAACAAGATGAACCCACAACGGTCAAAATGTTATGTTAAACTTTGAAAACAAAACAACATAGCTGAAATTTGCAAGCAGTTTTAATTATTTCTTAAGATGCCAGAAATTGCGGTAATACTTGACCTTTGATGTGTGCTTTTTTCAAAGAATTTAACACGTGTTTTTCGCTATATAACTATTCTTATACACACAGTAAATCGCTCAATGAGCTTAGGAACCTGAAAAACAAGTGACGTGCGGTGACAGTCGTAGTTTGGCATGGAGTAAAGCGATAGAAAAAAACTCTATGTAAAATATTATGTGTCCACTATCACTAAAGCATTTCCCCCACTTAAAATTAATTAACGTTTTCGATTTTGTTTTTAGGTGAAAATATTGTGAAATTAGACATTTTCACCTGCAAGTACACATTTTGTTTGCAAGCGTGAGCGCCCGCACGTGCGTGTGAAAGAGAAAGAATACAAGTAATATGTGTAAGATTGAGCACTGTCTTTTTTATTGCAGCTCATAGCATTGTGAAGATGAACTTCTCTTTACATTAAAAAACAATATATAAAATGTTATAATAGTTCTGCATACAAAAAATCACTAGTTACGTAGAACACAGCTGGTTTCACATTGTGTTTAATGAACGACTGTGTAAAATATCTTATTCTATGATCATTTGATAGTAAAATGAATAGGCAAATATTATTAACTTGTCGATCATGAGTGGACAGTATACGTTTCCTTTCTTATCTTGAACCAGAATGATTTGAAAAGAGATCTACACAGGTGACCGTAAACATTCACTGTTTGCGCTTTCTTAGCTTCGATTATATCTCAAAGGTACTGTTTTGAAAGCACTTTTTCTGCTAAAAGGTCACCCAGTGGTTGTCGCGAGATGTCAAAAAACTTCTTAAGAAAACAAACTCTGCAGAAAACGTAAAAGGGTGACGCCTCAGCGAAACACGGTCATTTGCTTATAAACTATACCAGGCATAATTTGTTGTCATTTTCTGTCATGGCATACTACCTCCATTCCTTCTGAACAACTTTGGGAAAATATCAAGTGATGCTTTTAAGTATTTACTTTAATTTATTAAAAATAAATAACGAAAATTTCTGTTTGTTTAATAAGTGGTTTCTTTTGTGCTAAGCAAAATTTTTTTGTCAAGTTAGTTTATGAGGGTGTTAGTTTACTGTAGGCCTATATGGCCTTGAGCGTATTGCAAAAGTCTCCTAAGAAACACTACAAGTCAAGAGGTGTTTTGTCTTCGTCGTGAAATCCCCGACTTCCGCCTGTCTTAATTTGAAATAAGATAAAGCAGAAATCTGAAGAAGAGAGGTCAAGTGAAAATTTAAGAGCAAAGCACACGATCAGCTGCTTACTGAGCCAGTGGACTCGAGAGGCTGACACAAAAACATGTAAATTTGGTGAATGCTTAAATTAACTGAAAATTTCACTTTACGATGGCGCGAGACAGAAACTGAGCGTCATACACAAATCTCAAGGCAGCAAACATATGGAATACGGTGCTCAAAACCCAAAACGGTGCTCAGAATCCGACAGCACAGCTTATTTTACGCCGTGTGCGTCGGACTGAACGTCACCCAAAACGTAGTGCAGGCGTTTGCTCTCTGGTCCGTGTACGAAAACTATTGCTTTACACTATGGTATGAAAGGTAATGAAAACTAAACACATGCAGTGGAACAATTTTACAGATAAATAATGACATGGCGTATGTACAATTGATTTTCATAATTTATGCAGTCTTCTATACAATATCTGATAAACTTTAAAGAAGACTCGATTCCTTCATATGGCAAAATATTTCAAAACACTATAAAAATCATGATGATAATATCGTTGTCGAAAAGTCATTAATATATGTTAATGTGGAGTCAGAAAAGACGCATTTTATGTGCTGTCGAATAAACAGTGTTTCTTTGAGTATTTCTCGTGCTAATTCTTGCAATCTCAACAGCTGCCAGAATAAAGGAAAGTGTCGTCTGCTAAGAATGCTGAGAAGTCGAGTCCTCCGAGATTTCCAAAGTAACAAGTTTCAATCTGGCAATGCTATGTTGCTGGAAATACTGTTTTCAAAGTCCTTCAGTCTGACCTTGCATCTTCAGTCTGACCTTGACACAACCTTTGACCGGCACGTGGCCTCACATTTCACTACACTTTGCAATGGTTCGACAAAGGAAGTTCATCTCCCCTACTGATATAAATATGTTTACATTTTTATCTGTCCATTTTTGTAGAAAAATAAAAAACGATTTTTTTCTTGAAAGTGCATAATATGTCGAAATGAATTCTGCCAGTTTATTCCAAACTTACATCGTCGTCTGCTTCATAATCAACATCATCCGCGTCATCGTTATGTCTTCTGCTTCGCAGTTTCGATCGATTATGTTCTCTTACATATCTTTTGCACTTGCAACTCTTGACAATTTTTATTTGATAAACTCTTATTTCTCCATTCTCACACATGAGTCTGACTCTTCGTCGCCTTTTTTCATCCTCGACGCACCGATATTCCAGTGTCTTTATTCGAGACCATACTTTGACAAATTCTGCATACCACGGAAGTTGTTGAACGGGGAGGCAATGTCCCGTGCAGATGACTTCCGTGACAGGACGAATGGACGTGCAAAAACCGTCGGAGATGTATTTCTTCGACCGCAACTCTTTGCAACCGTACTGTAGATCCCCTGAAAATGAAGCAACAGAAAAGCTTAGAGACATTTAGTTCGAATTTTGCTTACAGTGATGACAGCCCTACGCTCCATGTAAATAAAACCCTCCATTGTGTTTTCAGGTTATCTGACATATAAAATGAACCGCAGTTTAAACATATGCCGATCTTATATTTGTTATAAAACAATCTAACGTTTCAATGTTGCTACTCTTTATTAGGCCTACTGAAAGTAATTTGTAAATGAAATAACCTATATTAATGTACTTTAATATGATCGATATGAAATAAAAGTGGCCACAGCAACTTGCCAGTAAGATCAAAAGGCCCTAAAGGGACATATATTTCTTTATACAAACACTGGAAAGTTCAAGAATAATCGTTGCGATCTTCATATATTCAAACCAATTTGTATTAAACGTCTTGACAAGTAAGCAAAGCTTGACTAAGTTATGCCAATCCTTAAATTTCTATACACACAGGAAAGCATGTTATAAATAATTTCCGCCCCCTCCCCTCCCTTCCATGCTATCCCCTTCTGCAAACCCAAACACATATGGACCATGACCAGCCGGATGTTTTATGGAGGAACATTCCCTAGAAACCTTTCCTGTTTAGCACAAGGAGTGTCCAAATGCCCAGACTCCCCACAAGAAAATCTAAAAATGTCGAAGGAAGTCCTAATCATAGAAAACCACCACATACCAGATGAACGGAGGCACCGGTGCAAGTAAAACAGAAGAACGATGCGTGTGGTATTTGGGCGGCGATTCTGGCTTCTGAATCTACTTAATATAATTCTAAACGCGCTTCTGACGTTTGTATCTAATGGAAGACGCAAGGAAAACGCTGTCCAAGTGTGCAAGAATCCCTATCTATGGCTAGTTGAACGGTGGTGTGTGTAATCTAATTCACCCATATGCAACCCAAAAATCAGAAAAAATAGTAACCACTTTTCTTCAATCTTGGTTCTTGAATCGATGTATTTGTTGAATTATCATCTATTTCCGTCCCTCACACACACACACACACACACACACACACACACACACACACACACACTAAGTGAAACTTCAAAGGAAACTTGAATGTGAATCGCTTAAAATTGTACTAAATTCTTGTTGAAAATGTAGAAGAAAATGCCAAAAAAAAAAAAAATAAATAAATAAATAAATAAAAACCCACGATAAACCTTTTCACAAAAATCGATAGACTACTATGCGTTCTATAGGTAGATAATGGAATTAACTGACGGCGTTCTTCTTGGGTTTAATTTTTTAGTGGAACAACTCTGAGGATGCACCCTGCCCAATAACTTTTACTGGATCTCTGTCTTCCCCTACAACTTCACAGCCAACAGTTCTCATTAGTAATTTGATAATTTCCGTTATTTGTAGAGAGTAAGACCTTTAGTGTATTTCCTTCATTTTTATCCTATTTTAGACGTTTTCTTTTACAAAGTGGTTAAAAATAACTGATACCCCTCCCCCTTTTTTCTCTGACGTTCTAGGCCAACCCTACCCTACCTTTGGGCAAATCATTGGCATGCTAATTTCGGTTGACCATTACTGCGTCATCCTACATCGTTTTGGGGTCAATGCCTTCGTCTGGTTTGCTAATTAAGGCAAATTGGGTAAAAGTGACCACGGAGGATTACAAACAGTCTTTCTTTTTCAGACACAACTACTCAACAACCTGGCTTATAAGTACCAATGACGTCAAGGGCCAGATTAAAGAGGATATCGATAGTACGGAACACATGTAGTTTTCTATTTTGCAGGAAGTTGGTGTATTTTCTGGTAGAATGTAATTATACAAAGGGGATTATGTTCGGGGTATTAAGATATTTGCTTTTATGTTGCGCAATGAGAGAGGTAAATTTCTATATATTCCAGTAATTAATGTCTTATAAAAATCCATTTGTGTTTAATCATCGTTTGACAGTATAGACGCCATTCATCAATCGATGCACTTAAATTATATTGATACATAAATATATATAATCTCATGTTGCAAGTATCAAATAGAAGGCGTAAGAGAAGACAAAGTAAGGCAACAAATATAAAATGAATACAAAAAAATATATAAACACGGAGCGCTTCTCGTATGTTTCTCAATCTCAAACAATTTGGCCATTCATTTTTTCCAAAACACAGTTTCGTGTCGATGCTGTAGGTCTGAAGGTCAAATTGAACTAATAATTATCATTACACAATGACCCTTTGGGCCGGAATTGTTATTCTTGACACGAAGTTGCCAGAAACATATGTTTTTAAATGCTGTAGGTCATATCTGTTAATTGAGAAGAGAACTGTGCTGTCAGTTTATTATGCAGTGTTTTGAGACGCGTTTTAAAGTCTGCAGCGTGTGCGGCAATCTGTTTTTCTCACTGTGTGTGTGTGTGTGTGTGTGTGTGTGTGAGAGAGAGAGAGAGAGAGAGAGAGAGAGAGAGAG